AAGATTCTTATAGAATGTATATTATATTTACCAGAAAAGAAAATGGATGAATTATTGCTGTTAATTTTGATAGTTCTGCTGGTTTAGCAACAATGAATCTGACTACATCTACAGTAATAATACCAGAAACATCCATATATTTATATCCACCATAACTCTGAGTAACTGGCATGACAATGTCAACTGACTAAACGACAATATAAAAAGACAATGAAAAAGTATAAAATACAACAATACTATATAATCCAATAAATTATGTATCATACCTTATTTCTGAGAAAAGTGGAATTTTTCTCTTATCTCCCGTTTTAATTTCATAACTAATAAATATATTTATTATAAATTAACGAAATGGCGAGTTATGAAATTATTTATATTTTAGATAATAGACATTTTATTTTTCTAGAATATACATAAAATATCTTACTTGAATCCGAGATATTCGACAAGAAGGAGAACGACTCTTCACACCAATCCCGTATTTATGAACTTCTTTTTAGTTTCATCTAGATGAACTGCTCCAGGAATCTTTAATAAGACAAAAACATTGTATCAGGAAGTTGATAATATTTATCTTACAATATTGTATATTTACTGTCTACCTACTCCTATGTAAGAACTAGATCTATCCGTGTGGGCCACTTTTGCTTTTCACTTATGTTTAAATTTACCTAGTGAACATTTGTCGATTTGATGTCAAGTTTCATGTTGTCACATGTAAACTCATTTGCAATACGTTGTCGAAAAATTAGACGAAGTTTGATAATAAAACGTTTATTAAATTCTGTTGACTTCTTTTTTTCATAGCATTCATGTTTGTTGTAATTCTACTTCAAACTAATTTTAATTGCGCGCAATAGCTAAAAAAAAGTAAAAAAAAAAAAAAACGTAACGAAAAAGAAAAATTAGTAAACAAGCAGATTTTTAACAAATGAAATAAGCAAAAATTGTTAAAAATTGAAAAAAAAATTTAGCTAAAAAGTTAAATTCGATAATGTAATTTCGGCGTAAAAATTTTAGTACTTCATATCAAGGATTTCCTGGAGTAACTTATCAATTTAAATTTCACCTAAATTTTCATTTAGAAAATTTCTAGTGATTTAAATATATTACAAATATAAATTAGCAAACTTTTAGATGATCTGTATATTATAAATCAAGATACGAAAATCTGAGAAAAATCAATTCATTTCAATGCAATCGTAAAGATCGATTGAACTCTAACGAAGTCGTACTTTGCGCCATCTTTTCTCGTTGATCATTGTAAAAATTGATCTTATTTATCTTTTTACGCACCGAATTCTAAAGTATTGTTTGTGTCAGGAGCTAGACCGAAATGTATTCTATTTGCAGGCAAAAGTGATTAAAATTGGTTAAGCAATTTTGGAGGAATTACCGTTGCACAAACTTCAAAGTCCTCTCTAAGAGATTTTTGCTTCGCTTCGCCCAATAATATCAATAAAACAAGTACATTATTTAACCTTTTGTGATATACATTATTAATATGAATGTATCATTAATAGAATTAAAGAATAAATGTATAAACTTTTAGAATTAATTTTAACGATAGAATGAAAAAACGTATTTAAGAAATATATCATTACCTCAATAGGAAAAATAGCAAATGTAACGTTCTGTAGCGCATTCTTCATTCTTTAAAGACAGTAATTATATAAATTTTTATAAACATTTGTTAGATAATATCTTTTTGCAAAAATTAGTAGTATAATTTATAATGATAAATAAAATACTTAAAATGTATTTACCAAGACAATAATTTCGATCATTTATTTAAAATAACGAACTAACTTCAACAAAATTATAACAATACAATAAGTTACAGTAAGTTAATTTTATATATTTAGGTTTTAAATATACCCTTTCTACTGATTGAATTTATCGGATATTTTGTTCAAATTTATAAATACCATTTTTTAATCTGAAAAATAAAACTCTTTGTAACAAATCGAAAGTATCAAAAAACGGCAACTTTCATAGAACTCTTATTGATCGAAAATGTTGTAAAATTTGAAGTGTTAAAGCTAGCGACTTTTATTATAAACTTTTTAACTTTTTTGTAACTAAAAAAAGAATTTGATGGAAAATTTGCCACGTGTCATTGGAATAAAACACAATACTAGTGTTTACTACGCCAGAATTATAAAACAGGACACGGTTTCAAAAAACAAATCTACAAACTTATAATTTTAATTAGGCTGCAATTTGAAAAAAATTGTAGAATTACAAATTCCTACTGTTGTCTGATGTCTGTCCACTCGGCTGTCTGTCTTTTCTTAATCTCGAGAATGAAGGTAGATGGATGTACCCCGAGACAAAAAAAGAAAAACTTAGGGGCAGAAAGATGCATCGATCAACTATATATGAAATATCGTGAACTTCGGATACAAACCAGAAGTCACGGTATTTCAATTCAAATATTTTCTCTGAAAAGAGTTAGATTGATGACCGGTACGACTCTGTTGCTAACGATGCTCTACAAAGACAAGTTACAACTAATTTCAGGACGAAAACATATATTTTAAATTAAATAAATTTAAATTTGATTAAATAAAGCATATATTTTAAATTAAATAAATTTAAATTTGATTAAATAAAGCATATATTTTAAATTAAATAAATTTAAATTTGATTAAATAAAG